TTTGGGTGGAGGCGCAGTAGCCTTAATTGCCCATCCAGAGTTCTGGTGGAGGCGCAGTAGCCTTAATTGCCCATCAGAGTGTGCACATGGCAGTTCAGTTCAGTACAGACCCCGTGTCTGGAGATTACAGTTTATTTATGTATACCTGCAGTCATGATATTGATATTATTATTAATGTTTACTTTAGTATGAGTTTCTGCGGAGTACAGTGTTTTTAGTACTCACGCTCCCACTATTATGATTCTCTTTCAGGTGACAGGGTCGGTCCGGAGGAGTGAGTGGAGCTGGTGGTCGCCGGTCCAAGCCATGTAAATATGTATATATTTTTGCAGACTGTTGACATGTACATATTTGCCACGTTTTTACTTCCGCTGATGTTTTCAGACTTTCAAACTAGCGTGTAAATTTTCAGATGACGATCCGAGCCTTCGGGTCAAGTTTTATACAGTATCACACGCTTGTTTTATAAAAGATAATCCGTTTTTCATAAATGGGTTTAAAATTAATAAAGTTAACGAATTTTTAGTAAAGAAATATTTTAGTGTAGCATCCCGAGATATGTTTCGCAAATTAAAATGTAAACTTTAGAAAAGAATTTGCGAAAATCACACTCTGATTTTAGTAAGCTAGCGGGGTGTTACACAATAGGTGTCCTCCACTTGCGCCTTCCTGACTTCCTCCCAAATAGTCCAAGTCGGCCCAGTGATAGCATTAAGTTCGGCTACATCCGTCCGTCGAGATAACGCGTCAGCTACTGCATTCTGCCGACCTGGTCGATAGACTATCTCGAAGTCAAACCCCATAAGTTTAGATACAAACTTCTGCTGCTCGGGGGTAACAATCCTTTGCTCGAGTAGATGCTTAAGCGGTTGTTGGTTGGTCAGAATCCGAAAGCGTCGGCCCAATAGATAAGGCCTCCAGCACCTTACAGCCTCGACAACCGCAAGCATTTCCTTCACGTACACCGATAGACCCAATCGTGTAGTGCCTAGTGCCTTGCTGAGATAAGCTAAGAGTCTTCCCTCTTGCACTAGCACCGCTCCAATCCCACTGTCACTCACATCTGTGTGTACCTCGAACAAGACATCAAACCTTGGCATGGCGAGCACTGGCATTTTAGTCATGGCTACCTTCAGTTTCCCAAACGCCTCCTCACTAGCTTTGGTCCATGTGAACTCGCCTTTCTTAGTCATCTCTGTCAGTGGCTTGGCGATGGTTCCATAATCCTTCACGAACTTTCTGTAGTAGCCCGTGAGCCCTAGATATCCCCTCAGCTGTGTGAGACTTGTCGGCTTAGGCCAATCGACCATAGCCTCAATCTTTCGTGGATCAACCTTCACATCCTCGTGGGATATGAAATGCCCTAGATACTCAACCACTTTCTGCCCGAATGAACACTTGGATGGCTTGATGTGAAATGAGTTTGCCTCCAAGATTTCGAGCACCACTCTCAAATGCTCAAGATGTTCAACCCATGACTTTGAATAAATCAGGATATCATCAAAGAGTACCAGAACAAACTTACGTAGATACTCCTTGAAGATGGATCTCATAGCAAACTGAAAAGTGGATGGGGCATTGCACAATCCGAATGGCATAACCAGATACTCATAGTGCCCCTGGTGCGTACGAAATGCTGTCTTCGGAATGTCGGCCTTGTGGAGTCGAATCTGATGATAACCAGCTCTCAGATCGAGCTTTGAGAAGTAACATGATCCAGCTAACTCATCGAGCATGTCGTCGACACTAGGAATAAGAAATCGGTCCTTGATAGTCGCGGCATTCAGAGCTCAGTAGTCAGTACAAAACCTCCATGTGCCATCTTTCTTTTTAGCTAACAGTACTGGTGAAGAAAATGGACTCTTGCTATGTTGGATCAATCCTGACTCGAGCATCTGGGCCACTTGCCGTTCGGTCTCAGTTTTCTGAAAGTGAGCGTACCTATAAGGGTGGACGTGGATGGCATGCTGTTCATTAATCAGTGGTATGCGATGATCGAACTCTCGGTGTGGTGGTAGTCCCTTAGGTTCGCCTAGTACTCCCTCAAACTCCTCGAGAAGATTTCGCACATCTCCCTGTTGTTGCTCGTCCTGGCCTATGTGCGATTTAGTGTTCTCGACCACTACTGCAAAAATTTGGCCGCCACCTCACCAAACTCTTTCGATGCTTTTCAGTACTACTTCCTTGGTACCTTTTTCGCTGCCCATACTCAGAGTGACTTGTCGACCTCCAGAGTTGAATTCCATAATTCCTGTTCGATAGTCGGTAGTCACCTTGCCTAACCCCTCGAGCCACTGCACTCCCAGAAAGACATCCGGTCCAACTAAAGGTAAGGCGTAGAGATCAGCCTTCACAGTAACTCCGTTAAACTTGATTGGTACCTTCCGGAATGACTCAGTACATTGTAGCCTTTCTCCATTGGCTACTCGAACTTCAAAGGGCTCGATTTTTGTGGTTGGCAACTTCATCTTTTGAGACAAATCAGTGTTGATGAAGTTATGAGACGAACCGTTGTCTACGAGTACGATCACTCTTCGATCTTTGACCCATGCTGGTAGTCGCATCGTCCTTGGTCCTCTGATTCCAGCCATTGCATGCATCGAGATCTCTGGCTCCTCATTGAATGCTTCAATCTCATCCTCCTGATGTGGTTTCTCCTCGACCTCAGCTTCCTCATCGTCGGGGTTGGCCACCTCAATTACAAAGGCCTGTTTGCATTGATGACCGGGGGTAAACTTCTCCTAGCACTTAAAACAGAGGCCTTTCTCATGTCTCCGCTTGACTTCCTCAGGCGACAATTGCCCGACTTCTGGCCCCGCTGGTCGTGTATTGAAGGTCGGTCTCACGCCCGCGGATACTTAGCTCGGGCCCGAATGACGTGTATCGGTAAACCGGCCGTCTGCCCATCTCCTTCGCGTCGCAACCAGGTGATCTTCGCGTCGTCGGGCAACCTCCATCGCGTCGTGCATGTTATCTGGCCTCTCGAGTCGAACCTCTGCAGCTAGGTAAAATTTTAATCCTCCTACAAACGCTCCGACCAATGCATCTTCGGGCCAATCACGTACGCGGCAGGCCAACCGCTCGAACTCCCTGATGTACTCGCGTAGGCTGACTGACTGCCGTATGCGTGTAAGAGCCTCGTTGTAGTTATGGTAATCAGATGTACCGAACCGTGCAAGCAACTCTCTTTCAAAAACATCCCAAGTGATAATTTTCTGCCGCTTACGATAAATCCTTGTGAGCCATTGCCACCATACATTGGCCTCACCATTGAGATAATAAGCTGCATACCTGACACGATCTGTACCGTTGGTTTCATTGAGCTCAAAATATTGCATCGCCCTATTGAGCCATGCGTCTGGATCACTGCACGTGAACGTGGACAACGTGATGCGCGGCTTGTCGGGTGTACGTCGATCGCGATAGGTGGACGCCTGGGACTGTCGGTCGAAGTCGTCCTCGCGCTCATACTCCTCGTGCCGCCGTTCCTCTCCTTCGGGCTGCTCGCGGTCGTGTCGTGCATGATCCCGTTGCCACGGTGGTGGCAGGCGTGCGAGAACCGTGCACGCCATCTCGTCAAATTGCCGGTTCACGGTTTCCATCAGATCTTGCACCGTTGACTTGGTATTGTCGAGTCCTTCACCCAACGTATCTATAGCTTCGCTCATGCCGCGGAATTGGACATTGAGATTATCGATCTTGTCCTTCATCTCTTTATTGGCCATGGCTTTCCTTTCCACTCTTCGCTCTTTACTTTGAGGACTCGTGTTTGAAAAAGATGATGATGATGATCAACGATCAAATATATATATATTTTTTTTTGGATATATGAGGGGGGACGAAAAATAGGAAAAGAAAAAGAAAGGGAATGGGGTAGAAGAAAAACACACGATCAACACCTCTCAATGAAAGCACCAATGATGAGGATCGTGTGTTTCGACTGCCGATAAGCCGCTGTTGCAAATATTTTTTTAACCGGAGTAGAACCCAAGGATTCGACACCGGGTCGTGTCACAAGGAAGGTTAGCCGGATTATTTTGCACGGTTATTCAACACACGAAAATAAGAAACAAGTCCTAAACATTCTAATTCAAATTTGGGGTTTTTGATTATCAACTACGAATAATAAGAACAAGCTAACAATCTCAAACTTGCAATTTAAAGTTTAAACTCAAATAATGATAAAGGGGCTAGGGTATCGGGGATATCGCTTCCGGTTCTCAAAACAATTTACGAACAATCAATTACTCAACCAAAGGGCTCAAGAATTAACTCATCTAGAGGTTCAATCTCAATATCTCACGAAACAAGAGAATAAACGTAAACAAATCAATCACGAATCAATTAGAATATAGACAATACGTCACCGAACAAGTCTATTCTTAACGAGCCTAGGTCGAACGATTTCTCCCCTTTCGGTTTCAAAATCGATTAATTAGATTGAGATGGTGATCAAATATCTAAACCCTAGGTTATGCACAACTCGAAAAGATTGAGCAAATTAATCAAACGCATACATGAAATCGAACCGGAACGATTATCCCCTAACCCTAGCTAATGAATTTAGCTACTCATTGCAATCTCAACACCAACATCCATAATCAAACCAACCATAATATTCATAAACAAAATGAAGAGAGATGCTTACGATTGATAACAAATCCAATGTGAAGAGAAAGCAACGAACAACTGAAATCCGAGCTAAAATTGGAGTTTTTATGCTCCAAAATCAAATCCAAGATGAAACCAAGTTAAAAGTATGTTTTTGGGATCAGAAACTATGAAAAACGAGGTCTGGGAATCTTCAAAAGTGAAGGAAACGCGATCCCTTAACCCTCCAATACGAAATTCCGAGAAAATAGTCGATGTTACAAAACGGGGCATAGCGGCGCTATGGGGAAAGCGCCGCTATGGCTGGAGATGCTGCCCTTCTGCCCCTCGCTATGGTGTCCAGCGCCGCTTCCTCAACAGGCCATAGCGGCGCTATGGGCATAACGGCGCTATGGTCTGGGCTGCTCAAAAAATTTGTTCACCTGACCTCACGTGCTCTCGGCTAGCGTCTCTCGGGCCCTTCCCGAGCTAAAACTCAATCCTCGCATGTTCTAGACGCATGAACCGATGCATAACTCCTAAGAGTCGGAACCGAATACCGCTATCATCAACTGAACCTGAAACCACCACAACCGAAAACACACGAAAAACAAGAAAATAGGGGGAAAAACAAAGAAAATACTAAACACGGCATAATAAAGATAAAAACACAAGAAACGAATAAATGGACCAAAAATACCTAGGAAAAGACCTAAAACGGAGAAAACGACACACAAAATAGCAAAGAAAAAAGCAACAAAAACGGGACAAACAACTCCCCCACACTAAGATCTTTGTTCGTCCCGAACAAAGAAAAGAAAAGAAAACAAAAGAAAGCAAATAAGCGAGCAAGGACAACGGTTCAAGCAAGACTAATTTCAAACCAATCAATCAAGTCACGAA